CCCAGGTTTCAAGTGCAGGGGGAAGGAGCCTCCCCACAGTCTGCCAAGGGGTTGCTGGCCCCACTCGCATCACCCTCGGTTGCCTTTAACTGTTCTTGTTTTTGTCGACAATTGCAATGTTTATTTGGAAACACGAAAATGCAGAGCATAGAAATGGTAGAGATACAGTAATGTTCCTTAATAACGCCAAGGTACCGTGTCCTTTAAGAGCTATTTTCAGTGTCATGCATTGAAAAACCATCATCTTTATTTTTTTTATTTAAGAAAGAGTACATTATAGATTTTTTTTTTTTTTAATAAAAATGCACAGAAGCACCAAGAAGAATACAGACAGGGAGATACTTTTGCTGCCCAGAACATCCCTGGTGACAGTCCTGAGGGGCAGTGGGTAGAGAAAGGGAGAGAGGGGCGCCTGGGTGGCGCAGTCGGTTAAGCGTCCGACTTCAGCCAGGTCACGATCTCGCGCTCCGTGAGTTCGAGCCCCGCGTCGGGCTCTGGGCTGATGGCTCAGAGCCTGGAGCCTGTTTCCAATTCTGTGTCTCCCTCTCTCTCTGCCCCTCCCCCGTTCATGCTCTGTCTCTCTCTGTCCCAAAAATAAATAAATGTTGAGAAAGGGAGAGAAATCACACGCACAAACCCAGAAAAGTTGCATATAGAAAAGGACGAGCCGAGCCGTTTACTTCTGACAAATAAGCCACCTCCTTCCGTCTCTTGGGCTCAGGGGCTCAGAATGCAAAAGAGGAATATGCTGTGGGGGTTTTTTAAGTAGTAAACCTGGTGAGATCTTCCTTTTCTGGTTAAATGACATTTTCTCCTTTCACTTTCTTTCCCTTTCCAGCTTATACTTTGGGTGCATTCCACCTTTTGGAAGCTTGAAACTAAAAATGACTTTCTTATCGATGCCCCCGTCCCTCTCACAAGGAATGGGTCTGCATCCCTCCGGAATTCTCAGGCAGATGCCCACTCTGGCTCTCCAGCCAAGGCCCACCTTCTCATTTTCTGCTTTTTGCCTCTGTTAATGATGAGCCCGCAAACGGCCACCTTCTGGTATTGCTGTAGAAAAGAAAAGAGAGCAAAACAAACAGTGCCGTGCTCCTTGGAAAATAGGGACGGTTCATTAGTGGGGGCGCTGACCTTTTGTTTTTTCCTTAGCGTTGGGGGCAGGAAGGAAGAAAATGGGAAAAGGGCTCCTATTTTGTTTGTTTGTTTTCTTCATTACCCCATTAATCTCCATAAACAAGGCATGTGTTTTAGTTACACATCGACTAGAAAAAAATGCATATGCTAAACCAGATGGGTGAAATCAACAGTTTCATTAAACTAATTTTAAAATTGCCAGTTTGACAATATCACCAGCGGTATAATGGCTTTGATTTTTCTGCCGCAGTTGGAATTTGAACTTTAAAGAACGTGCAAAAAAGAGCAGTTTTACTTTCGAATTATTGTTTTTTATTATATTCACCAGTGCAGAAAATTGTTGAGATTCTTTTGCAGAGAAAATACTGATCGGTAATATTTGGGGGGCAGTTAGGAATTTTAACATGTAAGAGAAATAATGAAACCTTTGCAGTCCGCCTCTGTTGCCTTCTGCAGGGTTTGTGTGCGTGTGTGTGTGTGTGTGTGTGTGTGTGTGTGTGTGTCCACTAAGGCTTTGAGCTTTGTGAAGGATTCCCCTTTTGCTCCTTATCCTCCAGCAATCCCGGCTACCTGGGAAGTGCTGCTAATGATTTCTGGGGTTCCATGCCAGAGGTCAGCAGGGCAAGTGTTTCATTTGGAGCATCATTCGGTTTGGAGTTTCCTGTCTCTTCTGAGCCCACAAAGCCCATGTCTGTGGGTACTCAGGCAAAACCCATCATCTTGGTTAGGTGTTTGTCAGAGCAGGTAAGGCGGGAGTGAATCGTTAACAAAATGTTAATGTTGCTTTGCTCAGAACGTGCACAGAGGGGCATCGGAGATGAGTCCATATTTAAAAGTAAATCTATGAATAAGTAGGAGGAGGATTTATTTTGCAACTCCATCCGAGTGCTGCGGTGCATGCTAAATCCAGTGGAGAGGGTTCTTATCCTGTCTCATGGTTGGACTTCTCTCAACTATTCAAAGGGAAAATCCAAAATGAGATCCCCAGACTCCTGATGGAAAAGGGTGTTATTATTCAGATATACCCCAACAGATGAGCAGAGGGAAGTTCAAGGATGTTCATTGCCACGTTGTTGGTTATAGCAAGATGACTGGAAGCAACCCAAGAGTCTAAAAATAGAGAACTGGTTGGGGAAACAGCACTGCTGTGGAATGCAATACTATTGAAGCTTTAGAAAGAATGGGCCTCTGACAGCGCGGACAAATACGGTATGTGGTTAACTTAAACAAGAGAGTTGAGGGTCAGAATTATAGGAGCTTTTTGGAAAGAAAATGCATATGTATCAATACAGATAGATGTGTATGTGAATTATTGTCTGCGGAAAGGGAGAAGTCTGGAAGCATACACACCAAGCTTTTAACAATGTTTATCTTCACTATTAAAGAAGGATTGGGAGAGAGGGCACTCCTGGTTTTATTTTATACAAATCTGCTTTGTTTGATTTTCTTCTTCTTTGTTTTTTTTTTTTGAAACAAGCAGCTATTTCTTTAGGGATTAAAAAAATACAGAAACAGAAGCATATTCCATTTGTTCAGTGAGGTGATTTTTTTTCAGCACCTATTGCTTCGGATTGGGAGAGTAAAAGCAGACCCAGCTGATGCCTGTTGGGATCTGGAAGGCTGGGGTAAGGAGTTCCAGGAGCGGGGAGAGGAGACTGCCTTAGATCCAGGCAGTCGTGGGCTCCTTCCCTACAGCCCGGCAAGTGGAGGCACGTGTCTCCCACTCAGGGGCCAACCAGTTCGCTTGTGTGCCCAGAAGGACTGGCACCAGCTCATAACCCATGCCTGGGCTTTTACAGTTTCATCCTTGGATCCCACCGGCCTGTTTTTAGCATGGACTCTGCTAGGGGACTGCCTTTAAATAAATCCAATCTCGGGGCGCCTGGGTGGCGCAGTCGGTTAAGCGTCCGACTTCAGCCAGGTCACGATCTCGCGGTCCGTGAGTTCGAGCCCCGCGTCGGGCTCTGGGCTGATGGCTCAGAGCCTGGAGCCTGTTTCCGATTCTGTGTCTCCCTCTCTCTCTGCCCCTCGCCCGTTCATGCTCTGTCTTTCTCTGTCCCAAAAATAAATAAACGTTGAAAAAATAAATAAATAAATAAATCCAATCTCAGACCTCCCGTTTCAGTTGTCCCACATTGGAAACTCACCTGTGTTCATTCCTTAACGGAGTGCTGATAGAATTAATCTCTCGTGCCTCTAAAAGATGTTGGTAACATTTTAATTTTGGATAGAATGAAGATAAGAAAAGAAACACGTTAGACATAACAATTTTTAGGCAGGTAGAATTTTAGTCTTAAATAAGATGACCGTGGAGGTGCGTGGGTGGCTCGTTCGGCGTTCTGCTCTTGGTTTTGGCTCAGGTCATGATCTCACAGTTTCGTGAGTTTGAGCCCTGTGTCTGGCTCTGGGCTGCCAGTGCAGAACCTGCTTGGGATTCCCTCTCTCCTCCTCACCCTCTGTCCCTCCCCCACTCATGCTGTCTCTGTCTCCCTCAAAATAAATAAATAAACTTTAAAAAAATGTGAACATCTTTGGCCATATTTAAAAAAAATAATAGGGTGACCATAGCTCTTTGAATGAAAATGTATCTATGCAATCCTTTATGGTTTTTTGTAACATATCATCTAATAGATGCACAGGATAGAAACTAAACATTTGTTGCCTGAATTAATGAGCGAGAGAGATGAGTAATGTAGACAGACTTTGGAAGACCGTAACACTTACATTATAAGGACATAGAACTTGCTAGTTTGGGCTTAAATGTTGATCAGATTTATGGGAGGATTAGGTGAAAGGAAGTATCATACAGCTTAAAGCAGGTGCACAGAGAAGGGTCTTCCGATAGTGGTGAGGTACTCATTAAGACATCTGCTTGCAGGGTGCCTTGGTGACTCAGTCAGTTAAACTTCTGACTCTGGCTCAGGTCATGATCTTACAGTTCGTGGGTTCAAGCCCCACATCGGGCTCTGTGCCGACAGCTCACAGTCTGTAGCCTGCTTTGGATTCTGTGTCTCCCTCTCTCTCTGCCCCTCCTCCACTCACACTGTGTCTCTCTCTGTCTCTCAAAAATAAATAAACGCCAAAAAAAAAAAAAAAAAAAAAAAAAAAAGACATCTGGTTGCCTATCAATCAGCAGGTAGGTGCAGCAGAATAAGTCGGAATGGCTTTCTTGACCTGCAAAGCTGAATTCAAAACTGGGCTCAGCCCCTTGTCAGGTTTTGTAATTTTGGACAGGCTAGTTGACTTCTCCAGGCTTCAGACAATTCATTGGAAAAATAAGGACATTAATAATAGTCAAATTTTTCAAATTTGCATAAAACACCTAATCCAGTATTTGGCATTTTGTAAGCCCTCTATAAAAGTTGACTCATTGTTTTTATCGTATTTAGAAACCCTCAAGTAAAACTGGAGGAAAAAGATAAGAAAGCATCTCAAAATAAGGTTCTTTTGCTCAACTTTTTAGAGCAGCACCTAGGAACTATTTCTGAGATAAAACACATTCTTCTGAGAGTCTTAGAGGGGAAAAAAGTCTCTTTGGAACTTTCAGTGGTCCTGATTTGGTGGTGAGTTACACTCAGTAAATTACTCTCTGGAGGTGCTTTCTCAGCTATATAAGGCACATCCTTTTTCCCAGGATACTAGGCTGTCATTTAGTGCCAAAGAAAAAGCTATTTGCAGAATGACACCGTGGCATCCCCAAAGGGTTTAATTTACCTCCCTGGAAGGTGATATATTTCAAGGCACTGCAGAACCAACCATATTAATAACTCAGGTGGTTTAATTGGCTTTTCCCTCTTCTCTCTAAAGCCCCGTCGATCCCATGGTAATTAATTGTGTGTCCTGTGAATTGTGGTTATTTACAGTACCGAGGAACCAAAATGAATCTGTATTAGAAGTTGGCGGGAGGATATTTGAGAAGGCTGTAAAGAGACTCTCCAGTGTTGATGGTCTTCACCAAATTAGCTCTGTCGTCCCCTTTCTGATGGATTCCAGCTGTTGTGGATACCATAAAGCATCCTACTACCTCGCAGTCTTCTATGAAACTGGATTAAGTGTACCTCAGGATCAGCTGCAGGTAGAGTATTTATGGGTTCCAGAACCATCAGTCCCCTGTGTTATATGTGCAGAGTAATGCTCTCATGCCCCAGGTGGAAACCGGACATGTTCATGCACATCCTTTCTGGACACGAGCTGGGGGATATGATTGGCATACGCTGAGGAAGAGTTGGGGCAGGGCTTTCCAGACTCCAACTCTTTCGAGAACAACAGGTGCCCCTTACCCAGTTCTTATAACTACTCTGGCTGTAGGGCCATTGTCCCACATGACTGTTCAGCTAAGTGAAGTCATCTGGATCTCTAAGCAAAGTATTGTCACCTCCAGCCTTCTACCAACAATATAAAAGCCATACCAGACTGTTTCGCTGGTGGTTTTTGAAACCCAGTTAATTATGCGACATGCCAAACATTTGGGATCCCATTTTTATAAGCGCTGTGAGTGGTTCTTGACCACTTTTAGTTTCCCGATCTATACGTAAGGTTGTTTGTCCTGGATTTGAAGAGACTCAGTTTGTTTAAACCTGCCCAGGTGGTTCCATGTTCCTTTTAAGTGACTTCTCTGTGTATGTCTCTGGCTTATTGAAAGTCATGACTGATGGCATGCTTTCCTGAAGTCCCCAAGGCAATCCTCACGAAGGTGGAATAGTGAAGAAGATTCTAGCCCTGTGTCTGTCACAGAGTCGCTGGTTGGTCATAGACACCCGACGTCAAGTCTCTGGGCCTCCCTTTCCTCAACTGTGAAATGAGGCTGTTGGACCAGCTGAGCTCCAAAGACCCTTCTCAACACTAGCATTGTGAGAGCATAAGGTTAGGACGTGGTCACTATTCATAGTATCTGCCATAAATGACGTAACTGAAACAGACCAGGGATCTTTAGACTAGGTGGCAGATGCACAAAAAGATTCAGGGAACACCCGCTCTTTTCACTGAGTAGAGGGCAGAAGTCAAGGAATTGTGAGCTCTTAGACATTAAGAAGGACGGAGAGCTAGGTCTGAAAACCGTCAGAGAGCTGCTGTGGCTTCTTTTCTGAAGATTTTTTCTAAAAGGCACGTTAACATGTTTCCGGAATGACTAGGTTCATGCTTCGGGACGGGGCCAGATGACCTTCCGGTGTTAGGATTTTATTACCTTTTTTCTACAATCTTGTGAACACTTTGTAAATTTCTCCCTAACAGGGCATGTTGTATAGCTTGGTGGGAGGCCAGGGCAGTGAGAGGCTGTCTTCAATGAATCTTGGCTACAAGCACTACCAGGGTGTCGATAACTACCCCCTCGACTGGGAGCTGTCTTACGCATACTATAGCAACATTGCCACGAAGACACCCCTCGACCAGCACACGCTACAGGGAGATCAGGTAAGATAAAGAAGCGGGCGGAGATCATCATGGCCCTGTTTACACGGACTTCCTGCACCCTTTCATACAGTGTCTGCACCTGTGGCTGGCTCATTTTCAGGCCTTCAGAGGATGATCATAATCGAACGGAGAGGAAAGCCATCTTACGTGCTCCAATTCATATTTCCTGTGTTCTCAGGCTGAATGCGGGAACAATCCTCCATCTATGCATGAAAAAGCTTTTCGGGAGTGGGAGGGCTGGCGCAGGAAGGGTAGATTTGGCCCTGGACAGAATTTGATTTTGCAGAGAGCGTGCACCAGAAACAAAGACACCTTGTCTTTGTTCCAAGACCATGTGAGGGGGTGGGGCCGGGAGGTGTTAGGGATTGGGTCACATTGAGTGGGGGCCACAAGCTAAGGGGTCCTCTCAACGCATAGTCAGCAAGCAGGGTCTGCGGTAGAAGGAAGCAGGCTCCGCGTCCCTAGCTACGTTCCCAATGCTGGGCACCTCGAGAAGTGGCTGTCCCCATGACATGAGCCTCGCTAGCCAGGTCTTCCAAGTGACGGACGTGTGATGTTTGAAGACTCTGCCCAATCCCAGATTAAAGACTGGATGAAGGGCACTGTCTCTAGCCTCTCCTTTTGTAGGCTTCCAAATCTTATTGACTCATTGGACAGAGAAATCAGTGGCTCACATCCCCCCAAAAATACATAACATGTTACCTTGGATCAACTGATGGTTTGCTTTGAGGATGATGAATAAAAAGGTATATACATAGAAGTGATGGTGTAAGATCTCAAGGAACGATGATGCAGGTCTGCATTCAGTGGGAGTAGACTATGATGTGGTTGGCTTCTTGGAAGGTATTTGTATATATCCTCTTTATCCAGGAAGGATTTAAGACGTGATGGTCGCAGCCCTTGAGGCAGTCAGGTTGAGAGGAAATGCAAGCCGTCTCTACCAGGAGTAGGCAGGGTTCTTTTTCTGTAAAGAGCCAGATAGTAAATATTTTAGGCTTTGCTCATACGGCCTCTGTTGTAGCTGCTCACCTCTGCCAGAGACAGTATATAAGCAAACGGGGAACCTGGGTTTGTGCAGCCATAAATAGTACATAAACTGCATGGTCGGATTTGGCCCTGGTGTAGGCCATAAACTCTCGATTTTCCCTGCTTCTGCTCCGTAAGCCCAGGGGATACGCCTGGCTAAGTCAGGATTGGAGAATCTTAGCCTGAGCGGCTACCCGGGAACCAGAACCACTCACTGGTCCCCAGCTCTGCTCCTGGATGGCACTCAGAAACCCACAGTGCAGAAAACTTGTGCCTTGATGGTTGGCAACGGATAGTATCTGGAAATGAAATCTACAGGGGCCACCGTACAGTTATGAAATAAATGAGTCAAAAATACATGCTGTCAGTGAACATTAAACATGAGTCAGACTATAAAATACCACATGGCTACCTATATAGACATTCTGATTCCTTCAGAAAATAACAATTTCCCCTGAATAAACTTGAACGATCTTGTCATTATTGTTTGTATTCTCTCAGTGAAAATATAAGCTAGGCGCAAAATTTGACCTCGGTTTGACAGGAATTAATTTATGAATTGATCAAAAAAAATTTTTTTTAAAGGAATTATGCTGAAAAAGACATTCATACAAAAAGCAAGCCACAACGTGATCTTGCGGTGGGTTTAGCTAAGCCTGAATGTGTTAAGAATGTCCTCTACGTATGTATTATACTTTTAAGAATTCTAATTCAGCATCAATTAGCAATGGGAAATCGTGTGTTGCTAACAAGCTCCTTTTCTTTTGAAGATTTGGCACATGAAATGTTATGATTATGAAAGAAAATGTTTAATTGGTCAGAACCAGAGAAGATGAATAGAAGAGATCCCATCTTGCAGCTGACAGTCGTATGATTAAGAATCACAGATACGAATTATGCAGTTAGAAGAGTTGTATCATCGCTCATTTTCTTAAGAATGTGTAATTAATGGCTTCTTGAGAATTTAAGCAGGTGTCATACATGGATTTAAATGTCCTTTTGTTGAGAAATCTATTAATTCACCAGCAGCACGAAACAAACGAGGAGATATGGAAAGCCAGACCTCTAATTAACAAACCAAGGATCCGTCAGTAACTCCTTCCTTGATTCTTGCTTCCTTTTCTCTTTTATGTACCTCGTGCTTCAAATCATTTCATCTTCTTTATTAGTACTCTCGCTTCGTGTCACTTCTTTATGAGTTAGCAGGTCTCTGGCTCAGGTGGAAGAGAAAGAAGATGCTGGCTCTTGTTTGTTTTGTGACTTAATCGTAGACGAGCCGCTTTCCTTTGGTCGCTCCTCGGAATGTGCTTTTCCACGTTGGTGGTTTGGTCCCCCGCCTCGTCTCAGCCCCTTCCAGAGGGGCAGGGGTCTCGTCCACACCCTTGGTTTCAACTGCCCTCCACATACTGCTGACACTCAGACCTTCCAGTCCAGCTGAGATTTTCTTACGCACCCCCATCTGGATTCATAACACAGTGCGGAGGAGGTAACACACCACCCGTCCCCCCGTAACTCCTCCGCTGATGGCCCTGCTGTCCCTCCTTGCAACCAAGGAGCCATCCCCCCAGCCTCCCATCAGTTACAGCCCCCGCCAGCTGCCCATTTCTCTCTCCTCCTGTCTCCATCCCTGGGGCCATAGGTGACATTTGCCCCTTCTCACCTCTGCCCCCAGCTGCTGGACGGCCTCCTGCTCTGGGCTGAATTGTGCTGCTCCCCATCCCCACCCCCACCCCCGCCCAAAGAACAGGAGAATAGGATTTAAACAGACAGCAGGATGACTATGTGGGGGGGCACAGTGAGAAAGTGGCCACCTGCATGCCAAGGAGAGGGGCCTTCGAAGAAACGAAACCTGCCAGCATCTTGATCTTGGACTTCTGGCCTCTAGAACTTTGAGGGAATAAATGTCTGTGGTTCAAGCCACCCAGTCTGTGGCGTTTTGTTATGGCGGCCATAGCAAACCGATGTGCTTCCTAACTGGTCTTTCTGTCACCAGCCTTGTCTCTTCCCTTCGCTTCTCACTACTTCTTCCAAAGTAGGCTGTCGGCAGTCAAGGCTCTCAACCTGGCTGCACGTCACAATCACCTGGGGGTTTAAAGAACAATTCCGTGCAGGCTCCACCCCACAGTCTTGAGGTCGCAGCGTGGGGGGGCCTGGGCACACGTGTATGTGTGTATGTGTATACAGTTGACCTTCGAACAACAAGAGGGTTAGGGGCACCGATCCCCCATACAGTTAAAAGTCCACATATAACTTTGACTCCCCCAAAGTTTACTACTAATAGCCTACTGTTGTCCAGGAGTCTTATTGGTAACATAAACAGTCAATGAACACATGTTTATTTTGTTATATGTATTATCTGCTGTATTCTTACGATAAAGTAGGCCAGAGGGGAAAAAAAAATGTGATTAAGAAAATCACCAAGAAATATATTTATAGCACCGTATTTGTTGAAAAAAAAAAAAAAAAACCTGCATGAGGCGGGCCTGTGCAGGTCAAACCTGCGTTGTTCAAGTGTGTTTGAAAAGCTCGGATGTTCATAATGTGCAGCCCGTGTTGAGAAGTACTGACCCACGACGCCTCAGCTCAGCGCATCGCTTGGCGTAGGAGGATTTCTTTGATCTGGTTTCTGTTTCTCCAGCCTCAGCTCTCAGTGATCCCTGCTCAGCCTGTCCACCCTGGTGACACCATACTATAGGCCACACCTTGCTGTTCCCGCCTCCTGGTGCTGTTTGGTCTCCTCTGCCCGGTCTGTTTCTCCACACTCACTCCTCTTTTCCTGCTTGCTGACCCCTCCTACTTGAACACTGGGCTCAGACCTCACCTCCTCCTCCACATCTATTGGTGGTGGGGCCAGGGCACCCGGGTGTATCCCTGCCATTGCCCTTATGAACGCTTATGAAGGGTGCCATGCACAGGGTCACAGAGCTGGCTTCCCCAGGAGACCATAGGCTCCCTGTTACAGGCTCCTTGTTCATGTCAGTGATCCCAGTGCCCAGCACTGGGCGTGACACACAGTTGGCACCCAGTGTTTACCAATGGGCTGACGAACAGGGTAAGAGTGAAGAGCATCCAGGGATAAACCTGAAGTTATTACATTGTCTTGTTGACTCACTGGTGCCTAAAAAAAATATTTATTTATTTTGAGAGAGAGAGACAGAGTTAGTACAGCGGGGGAGGGACAGAGAGGGAAAGAGGGAATCCCAAGCAGGCTAGTCAGTACAGAGTCCTGCGGGGGGGGGGGGGGGGGGGGGGGGGGGGGGTGTCAAACCCACAAACCGTGAGATCATGACCTGAGCCAAAATCAAGAGTCGAGGCTTAACTGCCTGAGCCGCCCAGGCGCCCCAGACTCTGGTGCTTTTTGGTGTGACCAGTGTTCATTGTTGACTGCAAGCGCCCAAAGCACTTGGCTTTAAATCCCGCCCCTCTCCCAGTCAGCCTTTCTGGGTGGCATCCCGCGTTTGAGAATTGTGGGTAGTTGTCCTTACAGCTCGTATTTCCCCATTCTTACTTTAATAAAATCCCTAAAATGTGAAATTTCAGCAAAGAAAATGCACACACACACCCACCGTTGGGAGCCAAGCTTACAGCTGATTTTAAACACCCTGAGAGGCGGGTTCCCAAGGGCGGTTCCCACAGGCCTCGCAAGAAGTTAGCAGAGGTAGGCGGTTTAAGTGTAGGCTTTGAAGTTGCCCTGCTCCTGAGTTCCCAGGGGTGCTGGCTGAACCGTCATATCTCACGACTCCAGAGAACGCAGATGCTCTGGAAAAGGTGAAGGCCCCAGTTGCAAAGTCGGAGGGGTTTTCCAAGTCCTGCCCTTTCTGCCTCCCTTCCTCTCTGTCTCTCTGTCTCTCCCCCCACTTCTCTCTCACTCTTTTCTCTTGTTCTCTTTGTCTCTTTTCTGTCTCTTCTCTTCTTGTCTCCACCACTTCTCTTGCCCTCCCTACCCCGTCTCCTCTGCCCCGCCCTGTGATCAATGGCAGATAGCCGATACGGTGTGAACACCGCCCTTGGAAGCTGCAGGCTGAGCAGAGAGAAAGGTGGTGACACCGGTGAAGTGTCAGCGTCTCTGGGACACTGTGGTGCCTCCTCTGACAGTGGGCGTGGGGGCTGTAAGGTCTGTCCAGTCTCCAGACGTTGGACCTCCTCTGACCTGGTCAGCAGATTTTAACCCTGCAGTACAGGATATGAGCTCATTCGAGAGACCTTGACTTTGTAACGCAGCAACAAAAAGAACCTCTCAGAAGCCACAAAAGTCCCAGCGCTGGTCAATGTGGGGCCCTTGGGTCCCTGCCAGCATCTCTTCAGCTCTGCCCCCCAAACATCCCCACTGCTGCTTCTCCACACCACACCTTCTTCCTCCTGGCTTGGTCATATTTCCATCCGACGCGTCATTCTCCGGTCACACAATGTTGTCTGAATGCATGAACAACCGAACGTTCCTCCCTTTTAGGGGTTGTTCCTTCATCAGATGTCTTTGCAGGTGGTCGGCTTTCACAGAAGGCCCAGACCATATGGCTCCGGTGCTGGCTGCCGCTGTAGTGACCCCAGTACCACGGAGAAGCTACCAGCTGCCTGGGTGTGGCACACAGTGGACGCGTGGCTCCGGCCAGATTTACTTGGGTTAAGGCCCCAGGTCCGTTGTTCACTGGGTGTGAAATCTTAGGTGATAGTGCTCACCTCTGTCTCCGCACAGCTTTTCACCAGTAAAGCGGGTGCCATGATATGTACCTCACACGGGGGTCACAGCTTGAACAAGCGAACCCACATGATGTGTGGCTAGTGGAGCCCGGCTTCCGTCCCCACAACTCCCCCTTTAAAGTCTGTGACTTTCATCTTCTGACGCATAAAATGCTCTTAGATAGACCCCACCGCATAAGGTTGCGAGCTGCACAAAACTGCAGAACCAATAGGATGGCTAATGTTCTAAACGGCTCCCAGCCTTTTACGTGTCGGAGTGAAGTAAGGACCTAACAAACGATGGGTTCCATTACTGAGAGCTCACCATGCACCACACGCTCTGCTAAGCTCTTTTATAAACAGTCTCATGGAATCTTCACGCAACCCTATGAGATCAGTTCCCATTTTACAAGTGGGGCAACTGAGCCTCAGAGAAGCTGAAGAACTGCCCAGAGTCACACAGCGGTTGAGTCGTGGAGCCTCGATTGGAACCTAGGCCTTTCTAACTCTTCATACAGTGAAAAATAGCGGCTGTTAGGTTGAGTGCTTTTGATCTAGCAAGTACCGTGCTAAGCTCCACTTTATGGATGCAGAGACCGAATCGCAGATAGATAAAGTTAGTTGGCCAAGGTCCATGGGTAGTTCGTGGTGGGTTAGAATTCCCCTTGGTCTGATATGAAAGATTATGCTCTTAATGGCCCTGTCCTGCTGCAAAACTTGATGGCACGACCCAGGGGAGCTAGACCAGGGTACAACGACACAAAGGACAAAAGTGTCACTTCTTCAGAATTATGCACAGCTACCCAGTTCCCTCAGAAATGTGGCCTTTGCCAAAAGCCCATGAGTTCACTATCAGGGAGGACAAGGAAGCAGTCCACCATTTGCTTCCTCTCAAATGCACGAGCCCTTCACGGGGTGGTGAGGTCTATGGGCCCCACAGCCGGCCAACCTGGATTTGATTCCTAAGTTTGAAGAACTAAATATATGCTCTTGGATAAGCTACTTAACTTCTGAGCCTGAAATGGAGATATTGACAGAGACACTCTTACAAGGTTGCAAAGATTCAATGAGGCAATCGTGGTCAAAGCAATTAGAACAGTGACGTATTATCAGTGATACCTCAACTATCATTGATATTTCAGTGATATATCGTCACTGCCAGAGAGCGGCAGAAACATCTAAGAGTGTAGATCCCGCAGGGTAGGACCTGTGTCTTCATATGTCATGTCTTTCATTCAAGCCCCATGACAAAGTTAAAGAGAAGGAAACAAAATAAGAAAAATAACCAAAACTGAAAAGACCCCGAACTGTCCAGTTGAAAACAAAATTCTAACTGAGGATTCCATTGTCTGAACAGCTCCAGCGTCAGCCCAATTCCAAGTTCACCCCAGACCGTAGAGTGTCCCCTGGAGTTCGAGCTGAAGCACCCACTCGTTAGTCCTACGCTTGTCGGAGTCAACAGGGTAGAGTGGATTCTAGGGCCTTCTCGCTAGAGGGTGACACCGTGGGGAGCCCGAGAGAGCCCTTTCTTTGGAGTCAGGCCGGGCTGGCTTGACAGCTCTACAAGGCAATCATGAGTTCCTGGTTTCACCTTTCAGGCCTCCGCTTCTTTGCCTATAAATCGAGGACAGTGACATTTGGATGGCAGTCCTGTCGTGAGGATGAGGGGACAAAAAGATTTGTTAAACCCCTGGCACAATGATGGTTTCTATAGAAGGTAGTGGGTGGCCTTATTCTAATTGTTGCTCTTTGCTTGGTGGCCTCCACGGGTTAGACACTGAGCAAGACGGGATGCCTGCTGGGTTCCTGACACAGTCCCCACTTCTCAGCCCCCCAGTGCCCTGGGGAGGGACCCATGGTGCCATGCGGCCATAGCAGAGGAGACAGCTGCCAGACCGTCTCAGGAATGGGCTGCAGGCTAGAGTTTGTGAATCTAAGAATTCTTCCTCGCCAACAAAGAGGGTCAGAAGGGAAATCAGGCCTGGCTCCTTGTTCTCTGAGGCTTCTTTCCCAAACTCATGCAGATCCATTTTTTAATTTATTATTTTATTTTATTTTATTTTATTTTATTTTATTTTATTTTATTTATTTATTTTACCATCTGCCTGTGCCATGTGCCGGGCATGGGAAGCCCTTCCCAGCACCCCTCACAGCATTGTTAAATAGAGTTCATTATGTATAAGGGGAGACCGTGAAACAACAGCACTGGTCTCTTGACAAACAGCCACAATTTACACTTCAAAATGAGTCTGATTTTCTGCAGAGGAGTCGGATACCTCCGAGGCGGTGCGCAAATTCAAAACATTTTGGGAACTTTCCCTTTGGATTCCCCCTCAGAGCCTCTAGCACCTTCTTCCTCGCATCCTCAGAATTAACAATGCCCTCTTTTCGGCAGGGTAGATTTAATTTTTGGAAATAGCCAAAAGATATTTGAAGCTGAGCCTTCTAAATAAAAAGGGTTAGTCATGCAGGATAATAACACTTTGGGATTAAAAAAAAAAAAAAAACAAGGTTATACTTAGAAAATATTGATTCACCTTTTTTGAGGCCGTGTGTAATCTGCCTCTGAAATCAGTGACGTGAACGTGGTCTTCTGAACAAGCTTGAGCAACGGAAGTGGGAGTGGAATAAATTTTGTCCTCCCAAGGCAAACGCTTTGGTAGGAACAAATATGCCCATTTAGGTAGAGGAGAGGTGATACATTCATTTAAAACGCATTTGATCTTATGACATTGTGAACATACCCCGTGTTTCAGTTGTTCAGATAGTTTTTACTTGAGCAATTGCCAGTTTAAGAATAATGCCATGGCTTTTGCGTGCCTAAATCATTTGGGCATTTCCCTTGTCCCCCTCCTTCTGTTTTCCTTCCTTCATCCCTCCCTCTTTCTCTCCTCTCTGTCCTTCCTTTTTAGGCATATGTCGAGACAATTAGACTGAAGGATGAGGAAACGCTCAAGGTACAAACGAAAGAGGATGGAGATGTCTTCATGTGGTTGAAGCACGAGGCCACCCGAGGCAATGCGGCAGCTCAGGTAAAAATGCGGGCCACTGTTTTGGAAATTCTATCGGTTCTGATAGACCAGGTTATGCCATGGTAACAGATTATCCCAAACCTCAGTGGCTTGAAACAACACGCGTTAGTTTCTCGCTTCCACTACCCATCCCGTGGGGGTCGGCACGTGCCGTGCTCTCATGAGCCCCTACAAACCAAGCCACCAGGGGCTTCATTGCAATACAGTCGCCCACAGCCACTGCGGCGGGGCTCTGCACAGAGGTGGCGGGGGCCACCTCTCACGTTTCACTGGCCAACGCAAGTCACCTGGTCTCCCTTGACTTCACGTGGTCTGGAAGTGTAGTCCTACCCTGCACCCAGAAGGAGAAAGAGCTTTAACATTTGTGATCTGTCCTAAAGACTACCATCAGACATTTTAGTGCATTGGATAGAAATGAAAAAGAAGCATCTTGGGGTGCAGTAGAGATTAGAGGGATATCAAGAAGAAGGGCCGTGAATTCAGCTAAGAGACTAACAGAAAATCACGTGCAGTATGTTAGACCAGAGGACCAACCTTGTCTCTTGAACATGTCTTGTGTTTTTGGAAGGACTTTTCAGAGGTACCAGGAAGGGCAGAAAGCTGGGAGAATGTTCTCTATCTGACTTCTTCCCTTGATTTCGCTATGAAGAGAATCCCTTAATGGGAGACAGCTTAGGCCGATTGCACCGGTTGGGAGAAAGCCTCCTTCCCCAAGAATGGATTTAGCTTTTGCTCTGTGCTCCTGGTGAACACACGGTGTGGGAAGAGCCTCTGGGTCTGTTAAGCAGGCAGAAGCTCAGAGATGGGAAAAAGAAAGAGAACAGAAAAGAACAAATGCATTGACAAGCAAATAGTTCAGAGACCCTTTAGTGATGAATGGGTCTCCCATCCATCTGTAGAGGTCTTACTAGAATTTCAGGAGATACTTTGAGGGACGTTGTAGGTATTTGAGGAGTGAGGGGAAGGAAGAGAAAGAGATGAGAGAAGAAGCAGAAAGAAAGACCACAAGAGGCCAGAATGGGCCAGAATGTTAACAGACATTGCTCTGGCTCCTGTTGGACATCTGTCCCTGGCCTGCAGTCTTTCTAGTGCAGGAAAGAATTCTAGTACATAATTCTGGAAATGCCACTGCCAGAGTCATTTCCTGGGTACTCCAGAGCTTGCATGAACTTTCCTTCCTTCGTGTAGCAAATCTTTGTGGAATAGCTTCTATGAGCTTCTACTGAGCTTTGCTGAATGGGGGCTGAGGGGATAAAGGCAGACAAAAAAAATCTTGAGGTTCCTATCCCCAGAGAGCTCTCAGCCTTGAGTGTCATGGTGGAGTCAGTCGTGTGGAAAAATGCTGGGATGGGGAGAGATAAGTGCCTTCCTGATATGGATGTGCACAGGCCTCCATGCCATTCACTAGGCCAAGTGACAGGCAGTACCTCCCAAAGGAGAGGGGCTTTGAGGACAGGAGACAGTTGTGATCGTTGACCAAGTTCCATCCAGCTCTGGCCCTGGGTGCAACAGATACGTCCACATACACGTGCACACGTGCCTTGTTTCCAGCTGGTGCTGAGGACTCGTATTTACACGAGTTCACCTTTCAGGGCTCCCAGTTGGAAGATAACACGCGCCTACCTATTTCTTGGTTCTCATAGGAAAACATTTTGAACTTGGTTTGTCCTTCCACCTTTTAAAGTCTTATGTTAAGCATTACACAGGAAAGTCATTCTTCTAAATTGCTACTGTCTTGAAGCAACGATTGGCCCAGATGCTGTTTTGGGGCCAGCAAGGTGTGGCCAAGAATCCTGAAGCGGCAATCGAGTGGTACGCCAAGGGTGCCCTGGAGACTGAGGACCCCGCGTTGATATATGACTATGCCATTGTGTTATTCAAGGTAAGAATCCCTCGGTTTGTGCCAACGTTATGCAATTCTTATCAGGCTTCTGAGCAGTTTCCTGTAGGCGTGCTGGCAAACAAGGAATCTGTAACTGAAAGAACTTAGTATGTATGTGCTTCCGTCACTCTTGATGGAAAGGGATACTTGCTGGAAAGGCAGAATCAGAAACAGTGCCCTGGTCTCATTTTTAACCATTAGCCTTATGTTTGGCACCTGGATTCTCTTTGCTTTTGCAAGCACTGTAGCATTCTGGAGGAGGCACCACGTTTTACGGATTGGAAAACGGCCATCAGCCCCCAAAGGGGCTGCAAGTTCCCCACCAGGCAGAGTTGTCATTGAGTTACAGCTTAACCGAAGTGTGTGTTTGGGCTGGATCCCAACGGTCTGGTGGGTCAAAACAAATATCTTGCTTTAAGCCAACAGGAGAATGGGGGGCGGGGAGGGGGTTGAAAGCATTAGCACAGGAGACAGAGGATGGAGTTCAAGTCCCTCCTCTGCCATCATCACCTATGTGTCCTTGGAGTTATTTGATCTCATGGGACAACGGTAATGATCACAGATTGAGTGAGATAATATAATGAATGGGCTTCAAGAAATGAAAAATACTGTATCTTACATGAAATCTGAATAGATCACACTGCTTGAGCACTTATTACCGGACTTACATGTATTAATGCATTCAATCCTCATAACGACCTTGTGAGGCAGGCCCGGGGGTGCATTATGATTGCTGTTTATATATGTGGTAACAGAGGCAGAGGAAGCCTTTTTAACTTGCCCAAGGTCACACAACTGGTACATTTTAGAGATCTGGGATTGAGCTCCAGGCACTTTGGCTTCAGAGTCTGTGTTCTTCACCCCCAAACACAGAGACATCAACTCCCCAACCTTGGCAAAGCCAAAAGCTGTTGGCTCCAGTAAGGAATCCCTTAGATCCTATGTCATGCCCAAAGCAAGTGGCTGTCCTCAGGTAGTGAGTGTCTTCAGACAAGGACGTGGATTTGTGCGGCCAGGTCCATCTTTGGAACCGCAGCTGTGGCCACTCACTGATTCACAACCATGACTGTGCTACATTTCGGACCCTCCAAAGCCTTAAAACCTATTGGTTGATGTGGTTTCCAAATGTAGAGTCTGGACTTCCCTTTCTCAGTTGTCAAGTCAACACAGAAACGGCTTGACTCCTAGCCATATGCTGATGCATCCGTGTGTTTATTCAATAAACACCCATTCGGGGCTGACAAAATGCCAGACTCTGCGCTAGATGGAGTGACAGATGGATGCGGGCGCCGCGTCCCCGACCTCAAGGGGCTCATGCACTGGTGGAGAGGGCAGGCACGGAGAGGCACCTGTCCGCCGGAGTTGGGGCCGGCCACTGTCAAAGTGCAGAGAAGATAACGGCTCGAATCGGACATGACTTCTGCCCACCTGGAGCTCGCCATCTAGAGGCAGAGGCAAATAACATAAACAAATGACTCTGGAGGTGACCTACTGTCTGCTTTCCCAAACCTTAGAGACTTTTGTTTTTCCTGCATTCTAACTAAGAATCCCTCAGTGGGATCAAGGAAGCCGCTCATTAGCGTATCGAAGATCTTACCTCTGGCCAGAAGGTGACTTTAAGTGTATTCCACGGGAAAGAACCCCATGCGGAAAATGAACTTCCCAAATGTGACGAACAGTGCTGTGCTCCGGGCTTTGTGTGGGTCTTGGGCATATTGTGTCATGGTGCCATGACAGCTGCAGCTTGTCCAAGACAAGACAGTCCAGGCCATCCCGTCTGGCATCCACAAGAGGACAGAGCTTTGACCTTTCCTGCAGCAGCTGTTTTTGATTAATTCACTCAGTGGATATTATTGAGCACTTACTACGTACCAGGGCCTTCCATTTCTCTCACTTAACAACTTCCAGGACTACTCAGATCTGTGTAGAGTGCATAGCCCCTGTGCAGGAAGTTATCCCACTTAGGGTGAAATGAACAAGTATTCTGGAAAATGCATGGCAGCTAGAAATCAGAGTATCTGAGTTCTTTTTTTTTTTATTTTATTTTTTTATTTAAAAAAAAAATTTTTTTTTCCAAACGTTTATTTATTTTTGGGACAGAGAGAGACAGAGCATGAACGGGGGAGGGGCAGAGAGAGAGGGAGACACAGAATCGGAAACAGGCTCCAGGCTCTGAGCCATCAGCCCAGAGCGGACACGGGGCTCGAACTCACGGACCGCGAGATCGTGACCTGGCTGAAGTCGGACGCTTAACCGACTGCGCCACCCAGGCGCCCCCAGAGTATCTGAGTTCTAGTCGTAGATCCGACTGTAAGTCTTTGGATGAGTCATCCTCTCTGGGCCCCAGTTTTATTCCTTCAAAGCAGAGAAGTTGGAGAAGATAAAATTTGAGTTCAACCAGGTCCTAACATTCTGTCATCCTGGTCTTTCTGACACTTTTCCAGAAGTCCAAAAGTGTTGTCTCATTGCCCTATCCGGTTTTTCCAAGTAGCCTTCTTGTTCTTTTTCTTTTTTTCCTCTCTTTTTCTCTAATTAAATGAAGTAATGGTGCATTTCCGAAAAATATTTTCATCTTCAACTTTGCTTCAGCTCATTGGCTTTATTAAATAGGTAAGTTAAAGTCTAGTAGAAAATTTGGTGCATATAGTTTCACTTTTAGTTGGAGTCACGAGTTTATTTTTGGGTCCTGAAAAAATAGAGACAACCATATCCTGCATGTTTTCTGGGTCCTGCCAAGAGGTTACAAATCGTTATGTGTTCTCAGCACAGAACTGGAAAGCACAGGAGGCAAGAGAGCGTGGTAGTTGTGTGCTTGGACTCTGGGGCCTGCCTGCCTGGGTTCAAATCCTGCCTCTATATCTCACTCACGGTGCTAGTCTGGGCAAGGGCTCAGAGGGGAGTGCTCACAGCACGTCTCCAGGCCTGTGGTGAGGATGAGGTGTGACGGCCCAGGGTTGGGCACACCCTAATTAATGCGGGAATGTTTGCTAGTGTCATCTTTATTGGCTGTGGTGCTAAGTATGTCAACAGAGTTAAAAGCTATATTCATTGCAAAGCCCTGCCACATTATGTCACAATGTGGCCCCATCAACCGCCGTGTCTGAGGCCAGGAAGAGTCCAGGGGGCACCTGTGGTGTGTGTCAGTCGCAGATTTCGGTTGAATTTGTAGCAGCGACGGTTTTCATCCAGCTCCCGTTGCCCGCCATTTTTGTTGTCAGTCCTGTGTTGAGAGAGACCTCAGGGACCCCTCCAGCTCCCCCCCTCAGACCTGCCACTTCCCCACATGGTCCTGCAGACTTCAGCGTGATCCCACGAAGTTCCTCTCTTGCAGCAAGAACCCCAAGGAGCACCTGGGTGGCTCAGTCGGTTGAGCGTCCGACTTCGGCTCAGGTCACGATCTCACGGTTCGTGAGTTCGAGCCCCGTGTCGGGCTCTGGGCTGACTGACCGCTCAGAGCCTGGAGCCCGCTTCAGATTCTGTGTCTCCCTCTCTCTCTGCCCTTTCAATCTCTGTCTCTTTCAATCTCTCTCTCTCTCAAAAAAAAATTATGTATACTATATAAATAGATCAAGTTATAATATTTTTATAAAAATATATAAAATTATATATTTATATAGTATATAAAATTATTTTCTAATACATTTCTCTCTGTGGTGGTGCTCAAACCACGTCTGCTGGGAAAACTTGCTTTTGCCGGAGGAGGAACCTTGTCAGTTTCTGTCAGCATCTGAGGCACAGGGTTCCAAGGGGTCCTGTCTCCTTCGCGACGGGCTCTCAAGCTGGTTCTGAAACCACCGTGTTCCACCCTGGGGACTCCTGAGAGGACCCAGGAAGGCTGCAAATGGCAGGCCTGATAACTTGTGACTGTCCAGTGCAGATAAAGCGCGATATCTGGCTCACGGATGAGACCATCCCCAGAGGAACGCATCCAGGATGACCAAACTCATTTAGCCCGATTCTTCAGGGCTTCTCCCAGTGGTACCTGTGGACAGACAGGAATGCGATCCACTGGATGATAATGGGGGATTTTGTATGGACGCTAAGCTGGGAAGGTCAGGTCCGCTGCCTCAGCTCCGCACACATAAGCAAAATAGTGGTGGTGGTGATGATGATGATGGGATAATGGCTCTGCATCGAGAGATCTTTAAGGGAAGGCTTCTAAATAGGAAGGCTTGGGTTTTATTGTGTATCTTACCTGAACACTGATATACCCGCGTGATGTCTTTGAGCGACTCTGGGTTGATTTTCTTCGTACTCATTGCTATTTACCATGGTTTAGGGTCAAGGAGTAAAAAAGAACAGACGGCTTGCCTTAGAGCTGATGAAGAAAGCGGCTTCCAAGGTAACACTTTTGCATATTGTCAGAGGGAAACATTTGCACCACGCACGCCCCCACGCCTGCAAATCTGCCAAAGTGAATGGCCAGCCTTTGGCCCCGGTAGAAAACAGGAGTCGGGAGGGAGGTCACTGGCACTGCGGTGATTAGTCACTTTGGAGCTACGACACATACGGAAACCTGTCACAATGGGGACGGCAAAATTCAAAAGCTGAATTCACCTTCCAGTCAATAGAATTCAGGCCGATCTTGTTTGAAGGCTAAAATTATAATCACCGGCTGCCCTGATAACAAGCAAGGGTTGGGGGTTGGGGGGGGGTGGTAGCAGGGCTCCTTGGAATTGAATGGGTATGTATAAATGCCATTGAATTGGGAAAACCAAAGGCCTAATTCCCTTGAAGCTTAACCCTGTCATGTCCAATGCTCCTTTACTTCCTGGGCTTTAATAACGGAGACGTTTATCCAGTTTGTTGCTGGGTTTAGAAATTTCTTTGCTTTTGTCACTATTTACTCTTCGCTGCTATTGTCAACTCAGCTGGTTTCACTCTGGCCCTACAGAATGGAGGTTAGGTATCGTTTGTGTGGGGACGCACCCGCACACAGTGCATGCGCACCCACCCAAGCACACTCAAGGGTGCACACATGCAGATTGGCAAATAAATACATTTGTAGAAACCACTGTAATTCTACAACCTTGACAGGGTCCTCTCTAGCCCTCCTGGCTCTTGAAAATGCCCCCCTCCCCCAGGCTGCCAATATCTGCCTTATCGACAAAGACTCCTGAAGATCCCGTGCTGATTTTTTTCCCTCATTCCCTCCCCTTGAGAAGTTCAGAGTGTCTTTTTTGTGTCGAGCAGAAAGTTGGAGCATGGAACAAGAGAGCCAGAAGACTTTTCCTCCACCTCTGTGGTGTCAAGAGGGCACATGACCCAGGAGAAGGGAGCCTACTTCAGCACACAACAACTCCTGACCCCACACAAATGTTAGGGCAGAGGTAGAGAGGCAGTTTCATGGTGGTCCTTGAGGGCATTGTTTCCAGAGAATCCTAAAATGGGGCAACGCTGGGGTTTCCCGGAAGCTGGGAGATTTGTGTCTCTTTGGCCATCGTAGTGGTGCGTTGATGTCTAATGTGCTTTGTCTTGAAGGGGTTTTGAGCAGAGCTTGGTTAAGTATTGGGAGATGCAGTTTCATAGCCTGGAGTCACTGCCTCCTTAAAAGTGCTTTGTGATTCTCACTCATTCACTCAGCAAGGAATTTCTAAGCCCCTACTCTTTGTCAGGCCCTGTGGCGAAGGCCGCATATCATTTGATTTTTAGGCCGCATATCATTTGATTTTTGGAATGAGTGAAGAGTCACATGGAAGCAACTCTGGTGATTGAGCGGTACCTCTCCAGAACAAAGTATGAATAGTAAGCAAGAAGGCGGGATTTCTTGTGGGGCTCCAAGTGCGGTCCCTCCAGGAGTTCCGCAGATGTTCTGAGGGATGGCAGGTGCATCTGAATAAGCCTGTGGCCTCTGGCTTCGCAGCAAAAGCCATTGTGAGGCTGTTCCACAGGCCTGTTCCAAAGCTGGTTCTTGCCACTTTATAGCATTCCCTGGTCTATTACAGTATTGAAATGCATTCTGTAAGATTTACCAGCAGACCCCCTGCACCTGCTACTGTGTGAGGTTCAGGAAGAACGCTTCTATGCCTAGATCCACAGCACTGATAGTCCTTCCAGATGTCCGTTATTTTGGAGTCCGCTATCTGGGGGGCCTGGAGATCTGAACCCTACTCTCCATCCTCGGGGTATAGGGTTTGGACTCCATTTTGTTTAACACCGAGATTCAAAGGGCGGCTTTCATTCATTTGTCAGCTATTTACTGAGCACCTACTCTGTGGCAAACACTAATAAAGGGACTTGGGAAGCAAGCTTCCCGCCCTCATGGAGCTTCTCTTTTAATAAGCTTTGTTAGTTTCTTTCCCCTGGTCTTCCCGACACCCGGAGTCCAACAGAGAACCTAGGAAGTATAGCCTCTTAGGATCCGTGGCAGACCGAAAAGGCTCACCCTGGGATCTTGGCATCTATTCTTAAGGGACACTTGTCCTTCGCTTGTGAAAGGGGGGTGAAAGAGGTTTGGTTCCATACTTAGCCTCTAACTTAACAAGTCTCACAGAGGCAAGGGTGCCGTTAGACCCTCGGATCCTTTCTCCCCTGCTTCTTCGTGGTTTGGTGGGGCTGGCAGGAAGGGAGGAATGAGAACACTGGACGCCCAGGTTACACACAGTGTTCTCACTGCGGGTGGGAGGCTCGATCCGAAGCACTCACACCCCCTCAGGGCTTCCGAGCTCTCAGCAAGCAAGCCGCCCGCTGCCCTGTGGAAGCAAGTGGGAGCTCCTAAGGAAAGCAGACGAGAGCACCTGACAGCACAAATCATCAAGCACAAGGAGGCTCCAGGCTAGATTCGCATGAAGCGCTTCCTTGGTACCAGCCCCAGGTTTAGACACAATTTGAAAAAACCCTCCTCCCATCTCCACCGCCCTCCACCTCTGCCTCAGCGGCACCAGACTCCACCTGTCAGAACCGGGATGCTAAGTGGCCCCGAAGCACCTGTGTTTTGCCAGCCGCTTCCCTCAGAGGATTTGTTGGTGTTTGGGGCAGAGGAATCAACAGATGGGCGGGCGGGTCACCTAGAAACTGTCCCAGCCGGGGGTTGGGGGAGTGCCTGGCGTCCTCTCGCGGGTGAGCGCTTGTGAGTTTCAAGGTCACTGTTGACACTGCAGGGCAGTAAGCAGCCTTTTGTGGACAAGGGCATTGCGTAAGAGCCCCCAGGAGCCGAGTGAGGTTTTGGGGGGTCAGCTTGACCACTGAGCCAGGAGGCAAGAATCCCAGCAGCAGCCGGAAGAAACCCACCTGGGAAGGCTCTGAGGCAGGCTTGTGTTTTCTAACTCTTAACGTTTCTTTAATGCCATCTGCCCCCAAAAAGAGATAGGAAAGGTTTTGCTCAGACTCAGGCAGAGTGCTTTCACAGCAATTGATTCTCTTTAGGTTTCACTTAAAAAAAAAAAAAAAAAAAAAGTAATTTCTTTTTTGTTGTTCTAAAACCCAGGGATTGCATCAGGCAGTCAATGGCTTAGGATGGTATTACCACAAATTCAAGAAAAATTATGCTAAAGCGGCCAAGTACTGGCTAAAAGCAGAAGAGATGGGGAACCCGGATGCATCGTACAATCTTGGAGTCCTGCATTTGGATGGCATTTTCCCAGGAATTCCTGAAAGGAATCAAGTAAGTCTTGAGAGCAGCTGTGCAGGTGGCCGCCAGATCATGGAGCCTTGAAGGTCTTATGTGCCCCGTGGGCGGTGCAGGATGAGGCCCCATGGGTGGCGCAGATGCCACCCAAGACGCAGACCCCATCCTCAAGAAACTCAAGGGTCCAGTTAGGAAGATAAGATAGCCAAACACCAAGGACGGCATCTAGCCAAGTGTCCAGTGTGTGCCAACTGCTATGACCCAAACGGTTCTTAATGGGAAACCGTGAAGACCAAAGCAGTCAGGAAGGCTTCCTGGAGGAGGAAGGCCTGAACTAGGGAGGAAGGGGGAGATGATACAAGATGAGAATGCATCAGAGGCAGTGCAGAGATTGATATTACTAGAAGGAAAGAGAGCTGGGTCCAGAGAGGGTTACCGGAAATGAGACGAGATTTAATGAGAGTAAAAACAGGGGTGCCTCAGTGGCTCAGTAGGTTAAGCAGCCCTCTTGTTTTTGGCTCAGGTCATGATCTCACAATCTGTGAGATTGAGCCCCATGTCAGGCTCTGTGCCGACAGCTCAGAGCCTGCTTGGGATTCTCTCTCTCCCTCTCTCTCTCTGCCTCTCCCCTGCTCTCACTGTCTTTTTCTCCAAATAAATAAATAAACATTTTTTAAAAATGATAGTGAAGGGGGGTGCCTGGGTGGCTCAGTTGGTTGAGCGTCCATCTTCGGCTCAGGTCATGATCTCACAGTTCGTGGGTTCGAGCCCCGCATTGGGCTCTGTGCTGACAGCTCAGAGCCCGGAGCCTGCTTTCGATTCTGTGTCTCCCTTGCTCTCTGCCCCTCCCCCACTCACACTCTGTCACTCTCTCTCCTTCAAATATAAATAAACATTAAAAAAATTTTTTTTAAAAATAAAAATGATAGCGAAAACAACAGTGATAGTCTTCAGCGTTGGTGAAGCACTTTCTCTGTGACAGAGACTCACAGATACTTGACATGCATCCCGCGTCATTCTATCCTCTGCAGTAGCTGCTGTTACACCCATTTTACAGAAGGAACACTCAATGCTCTGAGAGGTTATGTCACTTGCTCAGAGTCACACACTTAGCGGAGGCAGGGCCTGGATCCCTGCACAAAGTGAAAGCCCCTCATTATTAATATTGATGATGGTAATTATAATTTCTGCACCATTACATTCTGCAAATTCCATCGAATGCCCATCCAGGCACTCTTCCAGGCCCTGGGGATACAGCAGCAGACAAAAACAGTCCCTGATCCTGGGAAGCTTACATTCCAGTGGGGAGGAAAGACAATAAACAAAGAAATATATAACATGAGAGCAGGTGGAGATACGTGTCACGGGGCAAGAAATCAGAGAAGGCCTCTCTGATAATGTGACATTACAGAGACTCCTAAGATCTTACATGTGTCTGGGAGAACATTCCAGAATGAGGGAACAGCCAGGGCAAAAGCCCTAGAGGAGAACAAGCTTGGCATGCTCAAGGAATGACCGGGAAGCTGGAGCCCCAGCAGCAGAAAGCAGGGGAGGGGCATAGGTGGGAGATAAGGTTGGGGAGGCAGGGGCACAGGTCATTGTAAGGACTCAGCTGCTCCAAGGAAGATAGGAAGCCTGTGGGCAGCTTTGGACAGGGCAGTGATGTGCTGTTTTAGAAGCCGCCCCTGGATCCGACCCAGAAGGGGTCGGAAATGTGGCTCGACTACGTATGTACATTGAAGGTCGAGGTGACTGGGTTGATAGTGTCTTGGACGTGAGGTGTGAAAGGGGAGAGGAGTCAGGGTGACTTCAGAGTGTTTGGCATTTATTGAGGTAGAGTGGAGAGGGCATTTGGTGGGATGGCAGGACTGAGGCAGCAGCAGATTTGGGGGATGGGGGACCGGAAGATTATTTTTTGTGAAGCATCGTACTAAGCCTTGAGAATACATCTCATTTAATCCTTGAAACAGCCTTGGGGCGGCAGGGTGGCCCGCGGTTAAGCATCTGACTTTGGCTCAGGTCATGATCTCAAAGTTCGTGGGTTCGAGTCCTGTGTCGGGCCCTGTGCTGACAGCTCAGAGCCCGGAGCCTGCTTCCGATTCTGTTGCCCTCTCTGCTCCTCCCCACTCACGCTCTGTCTGTCTCTCTCGCTCTTTCGAAAATAAACATTAAAAAAAATTTAAATTAAAAAAAAAATCCTTGAAATAGCTTTTCCTGCTAGATACTATCAGAAGCCACATTTTTCAGTTGAAGAAATTGAGTTAAACTCTCAGTTGGAGAGATTAACTAACATGCCCAAGGTCACACAGCTAGTAAGGAACAGAACTGGGATTTACACCCAAGCCTGTCTGATGCCAAAGCCCTGCCTTGAGACCGACAGCTAACTGCCTCCGAAAAATAATAGTACCCAATGGAACATACACCCTGGTAAATGTTTGTCTTCTGCATTGCTAATGTCTGGTAACCCGCCCACGTATCTGCGAGTGTGGATTTTTTATTGTCACATTCTAATTCTCACCTTCCTACTGGAAATGCAGTTTCTGCACAAGGGTTTGAAGGAAGGTATTAAGCAAGGTCAGGAAAGTAAATGCCTGGATTTTCACCTGGTGTAACTTCTGGTACGTTCTCCTATTTAGCGTGTGGGGGTTAGATGATTCATAGCCACGTGCTGTCTTGTTTATTTACTGGGTAAACTTAACAGACTCGCTTACCGTTAAAGTAATCACATCCAGAGGCCAGCTTCTGTGGTTGGCTGTCTTCCCGAAGCTTGACTTGGTTTTCCTAAAGATATCAGAAGTTATGAGCCTGTGAAAATCTCAGGCGTTAAGTGTCTGTCTCACCACGTTGGCTCTGGTGAAACCGGCCCAACTAGAAGGACTCCTTACCAATGAGATGACTTTGCTTATCTCTCTACAGACGTTAGCCGGTGAATATTTCCATAAGGCTGCACAAGGCGGACACATCGAAGGAACCTTGTGGTGTTCTCTCTATTATATCACAGGCAACCTGGAGACCTTCCCTAGAGATCCCGAGAAGGCTGTGGTGTAAGCATCTGTCAGATGTCGTGTGCGAAGGAAAAAGCCACGTACTTTATTCATTCACAATGCCTGACAATGGGGTTCCTTCTCTTTGTTTTGCAATTTTTAATTTAATTTTTTTTGTTATCAGGTATACATGCACATAGTTTAAAGAGCCCCATGATTTGACAAGGCAAACATAGATTAGAAATCAAGCTAAAAAAAATAATTTGACAAGGGAAACCAGGAAATCTGCTACCCCACCCCACCTAGACTCTTTCCTGCTCTTAAGAATAAGTCACTTTCAATCTTTGAATTATTTCTTTATGATTTGCCTCTATCTTTAAATGACACGTTTATACCACTGTTTCTTGTTATTTTCATCATAGGCTTTGTCTAATGATGTCTCACTGTGGCAGATAAAGATACAGTTCTCTCTCTTTCAGCTACCACCTGCTATCCCACACATCCACACTTCCCACCCTGTCCCATTTTCCCAATAAATATATCATTATTTTGGTTAGATTAGTATCAGGGTGTCCATTATTATGACCATGTGAATGCTGTGCATGGCTGAGCCATGCAGTGTCCTAGGACTGCCTTTTCTTTCTTACACAGCTTTTTGTTTTCTGTGGAGTAATAATTATATTTAATTGTTCTTTAGTTGCTTAGCTTTCTGCGTACTTACCATTTTTCGTGTGTGTAATCTCCACATTCTCCCAGGGTTGTCTAAATCTCTCCTCCATATGTTCAGACCAACCAGGTATTCTATTAACCTAATCTTCTCGGGGACATCTCTCCCGGAGTCTTCAGGACATAGCTACCCTCCTGAAATTAACTTTGTCCTCTTTGTGAGGGTTCCGTTTCCCTTCCTCTCCGTCTGGTGTGAACATTCAGATGTTGCATACATTTTCTTGTTGTCTTTTTGTTACTGATTTCTAGCTTAATCCCACTACAATCAAAGGATATATTCTGAATGATTTCAATCCCTCGGAATTTGTTGAAACTTGTTTTATGACCAGCATATTTTGCTACACCTGCCTTTTTTTTGTTAGAGTTTGCATGTTATATCTTCTTCCAGCCTTTGCTTTCAATCTTCTCTGTCTTTTAATTTCAACGTGTGTTTCTTCTAAGCAGCATATAATTGGGTTTTTGTGTGCTCTTTATTCAGTCTGAAAAGTTTCGTTTTTAATTGGTGTATTTAGACCATTTACATTTAATGCAACATATTGATACATTTGGTTTCAAATCTACCATTTTACTGTTTATTCCTTATTTGTCCCATCTGTTCTTTGTGCTTCTGCCCCATTTTCTGACCCTTCCTTTATATTAACAAAGTAGTTTTTAAACATTATTTTATTTCCCCCTTCCATTAGCTTGTTCGCTATGTACCCTTATAATATTCTTTGAGTGGTTGTAAATCTAAAGATTACAACAAGCCAGTTCATTATTAATAAAATTCTCCAGGAGAAATTAGAGAACAGAAAAAAAATGAGGAAACTTATAATGAATCAGTATATACGTTTTAATGGAGAGAGTACTAGAACTCTTGACAAAGATTATCTTTTTTCGTACTGGTGGTTATTTTTCATTAGGTACCTTTCGTGTCTTTGTTTCCATACATGATAACTCCTGAGCATTCATAAGAAAAGGCACTGAATGCAAAGCTCTCAAAATGCATAGTGTTTCGTTCTGATTTGTTGCTGTGTAAAAATTCTAGCAAGCAAAATATTCCCCAAGTGGGATTTATTGAGATCAAATGAAGAAAAAGCAATTGTTTATTTGCCACAGTTTGGGTATTTTCTCGTTCCTTTCCTTTCAGATGGGCAAAGCACGTAGCTGAGAAAAATGGCTACTTGGGCCACGTCATTCGCAAAGGCCTCAATGCCTACCTGGAGGGTTCATGGTAAGCTGGGGACTTCTGTTAGAATGAACTTTCTCAGCTCTCACCTTTCAATTTGTCCGTGTAGTCTTATGAGATGGAGTCTTAAAATACAACCGAAAATGCAATTTGCAGGGAAATCACGGCCTCCCACTAACGATATTCAGAGTATCACAGACTGATTGGCTGTTGATTGGAAAACATAGCATTTCCATGTTTAATTATACACAAAAATTAGTTCTCCAGGGGAAGCGTCCACATTCATCAAGTTGAGAGACACATGAATGTGTTGACATCTCTTCCCTTCAAGCTTGTTCCTCTTGGTTTCAGAGTGGAGACAGCACAGGGGGTCCTAGCTGAACCTCTGCCTCTCCCTGGCAGGCCACAGAAAGCTCACGGGAAGAAGACAGAGCAGGGCTCAAGCTACATCCTTCCACTGATATTTTACCACATCTTCCACAGCCGAGAGCCTGGGTTTGCTGGAACTCACTCACCAGACCTCTGATGTCATAGCCAAACAGTCTCCCCATTTTGACTTTCTTCTGATGAAGTTAGCAAGTCTCATCCTGGACCCTATGGGATGAGACACTGCACGTAAAGACTTGCAAATGCTCCCCGTTTGCTGTGCCTTGATTTTACAAATAAGGGCACACCTTTCCAAACTGCAAACCCACCTGATCCATCGTTCTGTTTTCTTCCGCCAGACCTCCCATTCTGTCTTGCTTTTCCATTGGGCCATATTTTCTTGGCTGTTTTTTTGCCTAAATGATCTGGGTATTTCAGTAATAACTAACAAGGGCATGCAAATCAGCACATATCCCATCAGTCCACAGCCTCAAAGATATTAGACCAGACCTATCACAGATCACACTCTGATCCGAACCTTAATTAAAAATTAAAATATGAGTCCAAAAGAACACGATTTTCTCCTTTGGTCCATGGGTGCCCACATAATCAGCAGATAGCGTTCGGTAAATGAGAATCTTAAAGAAGGCAGGGCAAACGAATCCAATGAAAACAGCACCAAAAGAAATGCTTATCATTATCATCCTGTGAAAGCGTATTATCTATAACCTCATTCTACACAATCAGAAAAAAAATTTAATGAAATTGTTATTTTGCAATTGATACACCTTACAATTTTTCTGGTGTTTCATCTTGTCTCCCAAGTAAGCTTCGGTTCATAAAATTCCCAAATGTGACTTTAATTTATTCTCTGCTTCTCACCCTCCAAACTTCCCACCCCCACAAGCTTCTGAGGGGAAAAAGAGCATTCAGATACCGAAGTGTGTATGCGAGGGATTTTCCCACAGAGAGAGCACATCTGTAAACTCCCCCACACCGCCACACACACACACACACACACACACACACCCCAAGATGTTTGACACTGTTTTTCCCATAAAGAGAGTGACTATTAATAGCTGACATTACTTGCCTGCTTTTGAATTTAACATCACAAAGCGTTTCAGGTAGCACATTTTAAAATTTGCTGTGAAGGTCAAGATGAATTAATTTTTGTGACCTGTTGTCCTTCGTGCAATATTCAGCCACAGCATGAGATTGATTTTTTTTTTTCTTTTGGTAGAGGGGAGGGGGAAGTTAAGTGTATTCTCCACTGTTTGTGAGTTTGGGTCCAGTTCAGCAGACTTTATGGAGTAGACTTAAATGCAGGGTGCTTCATCTTGTCATATGCTTCAGGGGATGCCACAAGCAGGACTTGGGGAAGTTTGCGGCCTCACCTCTTCTCATGCTGAACTCACATGGCCCGTACTCTGTTTGACCTCTGGGTCTTTGAACATGCTGTTTCCTCTGCCCAGAAGTCCTACCTAACTCCGTACTCCTGTTAGGATCATGATGGCCCTTGTTGATTGCCCTGTGACTTATACCCCAGTGCCCAGCACTGATGGTACCTGGGAAGTGCTCAAAAACAAATGAATGTATGAATGAAGGCAAGTAGAACAACCATAACTCAAGACCCATGAGCAGCATATCGAGAGCATGAAAGATTCTGAGGAGGAAAAATGCTGTCCAGTTTGTGGGACTTAGGTCAGCCTTCACGACAGACGTAGCAGAGGATATGGCCTTGAGGGGTGGGTGGAATTTCCACTTCGCCATGCAGGGAACAGCGTTTCTGGTGAAGGGAATAGCAGGAACAAAAGCAAAGAGATAGGAAAATTCTGGATGAATCTAGAAATTTTTAAGCCTCCAGTTTGCCTTCAGGTGAGATTTGTAAAAGGGAGTGATATAGAATAAGACCAAAAAAGTGCTGCTCTAGGGAACTTTAAGTGGCAGGTCATACACTTTTTACTTTATTTGTGAGGAGTGGGGAGTTACTGATAGTTTTGGGAGAGGGTACTGAGATGACAGAGCTGGGTTCTGAGCTGTTTAACCAAACAACTGTGTTTGATGGTAAAGAGAAGGGAGAGTCAGGAGGGGCATGTTAGTTCAGAATCCAGGTGAAAGGATCTGAGCATTTGAGCTGGAGATGTGTCACAGGCCAGTTCAGTTCTTCTCTTCTTCTGTCATATAATGGTTGATGCGTATGAAGTAATATGTGATATATACGTAAGTTCTCAAGCGTGATGATAAAATGAACACCTATAACCCTACATAAGAGAATGAACAGTTCTGGGGCGCCTGGGTGGCTCAGTCGGTTAAGCCTCCGACTTCG